TGGACACTCTCACATGGCTTCCATGGATGCCGTCTTTGTTCTCTTTTTGCCTTCTTCTTAATCCTTGACCGTTCGCATATTTTTTTTACAAAACTGTTTAGCCATATATAGTACATGTGCAAGCACGTATACCCAGGGAAGGGAAGGTAATAGAAAAGGGAAAACAAAAAATACATAAGGAGAGTGCAGAGGATATGGAGAAAGAAAGACAAAGAAATACATAAGAAATACATAACGGAAGGGCTTTTAGGCACCAAATTACGCATCTAGGGACCCGCCTTAGGCCCCTTGGTTGAGTCCAGAGGGCAGAGCCCCGAAAGCTCAAGGACTTTAGGCATTTAATTACGGCCAGATGAGCAAACAGGTGCCCGCCTTAGGGCCCTTGGTGGGTTCCAGGGGGTAGAGCCCCGAGAGCTCATGGAAAAATACTGCCATTTTAGCAATACTTGTAAATCACTGGTATCAAATTAAAAATAAACCATGTTTAAATTTTATTGGGGGGGGGGGGGTTTACTGCCCCCCCCCCCCCCATCAGTACGCCAGTGAAAGAGGCGGAGGTGACGGAAGGGACTACCCCCATAAAGCTGTATGATAAGTCTTATTTGTTGAAGTTTTGTTGTGTTACAAAATTACATTCTTTAGCAAAAATACAGCATAAAAACAAGCAAGTAAAGTAATATACTTTTTTCACGCTTCACTTTTACTTTGCCGATATTTAGTGTACAGTCCGAAGGGTTGTAAATATTTACTAGGTAAATTTTAGTAAGTACTGAGCAGGAAGGGACTTCTTAAAAGAGCAAGCTGAATATTCATTTTTTCACTTTTAATCTTGTTAACATACAGTGTAATTTGTACATACGTGATACCAACAGAATACATATTTTCTTCAATATTTACTTGTATATTTTTAGGATATTATGCGAAGGAGCGTAGCGACCGAGCGAGAAGATTTTAGCATTTCTATTAGTCTAAACGCTGTACTCTTGGGCCCACCAGAGCCTTAAAGCGTGTTGCAGTCTTTAGTCAGTATTTGCTATACATTTTGTTGGTGTGCACTTTTTCAAATTATCCATGGGGGACGATCCCCCTCAGAAAATTGAAGGAAGACGTGTACCCCGTCCTTCCACCTATTTTGTGTTTTGCTCAAAAAACTATCAATATTAATGTTCACATATATCAGTCCCTTTTTGGATTGTCCTCCTCCCGTACCCCCACCCCCCCCCCCCCCCCCCCCCCACCCCAAGAAAAAATATTATCACATTGTTACATGTGTGCACAATATATATTGATGTGTCAACCTTACGAAAGTGGTGTTTTCATAATGATTATTGACCTCCTTTAAATTTATATTCATATGGAAGACTTAAGAAGACAACTGTTTACAGTCCAACTCAGAGTGTAGAGCATGCCGTGTAGACTAAAATGTGCAATGTTGTTCAATTTCTGAATTCTTTGTTTAAAAAACTTGCTTGCTGTCAATAGTGTATACATTTTTTATACATTTCAAATGTCTAGTCCGGTTAAAAATAGCACGTAATGATTTCATTATTTGACACGTACTTCACATTTATTTATCTTATCGATAAGCGAAACGATTTGCTTTAGTATCATGTAACAAATATAACAGTAATGACAAGTATGGTTTTCCTGAAAATTGCATTATACAATGTATATTCATCGTTATGGAAAATGTTGTATAATATACAACAATGGGCATTAACATTTTCCAGACCATTATTTCAATTACGTTTAATATTGAAGCTGTTGCCCTTTGTATATACATGAACTTGAAATAATAAGTAGCCTTGAAAGTGTCGCAATAAATCATGTGTGAGTGAGTTTGAAGTTTAATGGTGTAGGTTTGTTTGAAACTGTATAGCCTTTACTCTGTTTTTTAAGAGATATATCTCCAATCAAATCAAATCAAACTGAGTGATGTTATCGTACAACTAAACAATATCAATCTTCTGTTCTCCTAAATAAGCCTGGGAAACTTGAAAATTGCTTTACAATGTGAATTCATTGTCAGTGAAAATGTAATACAATACACAACGATGGGCAAATAATTGTTTCCATACCAATGATTTAAGTAAGAAAAACTTACATTTTATATTAAAACTGTTGCCGTTGTATATTCATCAGGCGCGGATCCAGGATTTCTTAGGGGGGGGGGGCAAAATTTGAAATTATGCGAGCCAAATATTGGTTCATAATGGTGACCAGCAGAGACGTAATTGGGGGTGGGTGGGTGCAGGGAGGGGCGAGTTTCCCCCTCCCTCCTCCGCGAAACGCGGAAGCTTTGACATTTCAATAAATTATTAGAGAAAGAAGACGATTTGTTGTACCGTTCCCAAAAAATAATCCTCGTCTGAATTGAGTTTTCCCCCTCCCGCGCTAAGTGGAAGCTTACGTTTCATTAAATCATTAGAGAAAGAAGACGATGTGTTGTGTCGTTATCCCCTTTTTTTTTCTTCTACCTCTTTTTTCCTTTCTTGTATCTCTCTTTTCCTTTTTTCTTTCCCTTTCCTTCCTTCTATTTTATTTTTTATGAGGGGGGCAACAGCCTGGGAGGCAAGTCCTTTTGCCCCCCCCCCCCCCCTCCCCCCGATCTACTTCTTCCCTCTTTTCTTTCTTCTTCCTCTTCTTTTTTTTCCCTTTCTCTCCTCTTTCCCTTTCCCTTCTTTCCTTCTCTCTCTCTCCTTTTTTTTTTTTTTTTTTTTTGCGGGGGGGGGGGGGGGGGGGGGGGGCCAAGGCCCGCTCGGCCCCCCCCTGGATCCGCGCCTGATTATCCGTGCAAAACAATTTGAAAACTGTAATACCAAAAATATCATAGACAGACAAGTAATACAACACCATTAGAGCTAGCACAATTTTAAAGATAGAGTGACATACTGTACAATGACACTCATCTTTCCATCTATTGAGTGGAACCGTTTGAGTGACAACATCATAAACTCCACATCAACCAGCACATTCAGGAAGGCCATGTTGGATAGAGCTTTTTAAGTACCGCAGCCCCCATTCTCACAAGTACCTTTTTTCATCTCTGTCGAGGGTTTGTTTTCAGATGCAAGAAGTGCCATTTCACCTTCCGTATGATTATAAATTAATTGCCCTTTTTACTGTGACCTGAGCACCTTTTCTTTTCTAATAAATGTCCAGGAAAAAAGGTGCATGCTTTTATAATTGATATATGACTACGTATGCATTTCTTGCTCAATATTGTTATTCTCTTAATTTGGTATAATTTAAAATTATAAAAAGAGATAATATCTCTTTTATATTCTCTAACTTCCCTCTGTTTATTCTCTCTAACTTCCCTTTGTTTATTCTCTCTAACTTCCCTCTGTTTATTCTCTCTCTCTCTCTCTCCCCTGATTTCTATACTTCCTCTTCTGATAACTTATTCTTTGCATCATGAATTCTCTCCTTTCTCTATCACTCTCTCTCTCTCTCTCTCTCTCTCTCTCTCCTCCATGCATGTCTCAGCTCTTATACATCATTGTATCCCATCTGCCACTGCTGCTAGGTCAAGCAATCCCAGGTTTTGCCCGACCTTCTGAGAATGGTAATGGGGAATCTGTTGGAGAAAAGGGGCACCGACATGTATCAGATTTTAAAAGGGAAATTTATCAGATGTTAAAAGGAGCATTTGGAAAAGGGGGAGGGGCTCATATGATTAAAAAAAGGAAAAGGGGCACTTAACCAATGGATACGGTACTTTAACCACTTATTAGAAAGGAAAAGGGCCACTTATCAAACATGAAAAGTGGCATTTAAGAGAAAGGGAAGGGAGTTCTTAATACAAAGAAATAAAGTGCACTTATTAATAAGGAAAAGGGTTCACAATTCACAATAAAAAAGGGCAAAAATTTAAGAGGTGAAAAGGGGAATTTCTCGCACCTAGAAAGAGGTATAGCCTACTCGCCAGAAATGAAAAAAAATGAAAAGAGAGGAAAAGGACAATTATTAGAAAAGAAAAGGGCACTTATCCTATGTACAAAGGGGCACTTTGGGGAAACCTGAAAAAGTGGGGGCACACGGTACGGTATAAACTCTCACACGACACAGCAAATGCACAATCTTAAAAGTTTTATATTCACTAATAATCTTGAGGCAAGTGATAATTTCGCTGTGGTAGAGGAAAGGTAATAATATTGAAATGCAAAGATACATACAATGTACATAACAGGCATATTCCTACCATTATTTAAAATGTTTTCTGAGACAGAAAAATGAACTTAATACCAAGAAGTTATCCGGCGATCGTATACCATGACGTATTATCACCAGCATCAGGTTGTCGCGTACGTTACGTATGCCTTGGGTTAGTCAAAAATATATTCTTGTTTCCACGGAAATCAGCTTTATTATTTAGAACAACTCTCTAAATACTCACAATTTCCATGTTTCATGTCATGACTGTGTATAATAAAAGCATTCTTAATACATAAAATGACAATTTTGGATCATGAAATCATGAAGGGAAAAAAGTGGGTCGACAACTCGACCTGGCCTAGATCTAGTCGACCTAGACCCCTAATATTTAAAAGGCGATCACACACAAAGAAAAAAAAAACATTGCGTCGGTTCATAACCACTTGCATAACTATAATAATAATGGGGGAGGGGAGTCCGTTTGGACACTTCACCAAAATCAAGCCCTCTCTTAGCTTTGCGTCTTTTGCCTATAGATTTTTATGAAAACATTCGATCAATTAGCATGGGAATAGACTTATTCACTCAGTCTCGCTCTCGGCACTCGGCGGTCGGTACAAAAAGAGAAGCCAGTCGGCACGGCGCAGCACGGCCACGGCCTGCGGTACTCTCCGAGTGGCTTGTTCGCAATGACAATCACATTCACAATCTCAACGGCAACAATCTAGTTTCATTTTCAGCGTAAATCTAAGCCTATTTAGGAGAAAAATCTGAATTATCACACCCAAATATTTGAAATGAGATAAATCGAAATGCAAAGTACATTCATAATGATTACATACCTAACTGTTATTGTACCAAAATCAATATCCGGAGAGATACACTAGAACAGGAATACCGGCAGAATCTCCATTCTCTTTGTGGGTAAAGAGCTTTACTTTAACAGAAATCCTACTCACTGAACAAAGCACACATTATCATGTAGTAAAACCAGGGAGGATCCTGCGGTAAAACCAAAAATCGATCGAAGGATCATGATCACGTTGCGTTTCTTCCGCAATTGTATAAAAAGGCAATCTTGACAAAGGCCTACTCATATTCACCAGTTATGCTAATTATGCCCCTATAGCGCGCTTCTGGGGGGGGGGTACCCCTTTTTACATAGAAAAGTGCCCCCTTTTACTTTGTAAGGAGTGCCCATTTTTACATAGAAAAAATGCCCCTTTTACTTTGACAAATGCCCCTTCCCCCTTCCACCTCTGATAAGTGCCCCTTTTATTTTGACACGTACCCCTTTTCCTTTGACAAGTTCCCATTTTCCTTGCAGTAAGTGTCCATTTTCCATTCTCATATAAGTGCCTTTTTTTCAATCTCTAGTAAGTTCCCCTTTTCAGATACGAGAAGCGACCCTTTTCACTTTTGATAAGCGCCCCCTTCTGATAATTGCCCTATTTAAATCTGAAAAGTCCCCTTTTACATTGACAAGTGCCCCTATTAATTTGTAAAAGTGCCCCTTCCCCCTTCCACCTCTGATAAGTGCCCCTTTTATTTTGACACGTACCCCTTTTTTATTTCCTTTGCAATAAGTGTCCATTTTCCACTCTCATAAGTGCCTTTTTTAATCTCTAGTAAGTTAAATTCCCCTTTTCGGGTACGATAAGCGCCCCCTTCCCCTCTGATAATTGCCCTATTCAAATCTGAAAAGTCCCTTTTTGCTTTGACAAGTTCCCCTTTTCCTTTGTAAATGGTGCCCCTTTCCATTTTAATAACGACCCCTTTTCAACCTAGACTCTAAGCGCACCTTATATTTTCACATGTGCCCCATTCCTTTTTAATGAGTGCCCCTTTTCTTTATGATAAGTGCCCTCATTTAAAAGGGGCCCCTTTTCCTTCTCATAAATGCCCCTTTTCATCTATGACAAAAGTTCATATATATTTTTATTCTTATATGTCCACCTTTTCATCTTTTGTACATGACCCTATTCAATTCTGAGAGATACTCGTTTGACAAGTGCCTCTTCCCCTCCTGATAAGTGGTCTTTTCATCTCTTATAAATGCCCCTTTTATTTTGACACGTCCCTCTTTTCCTTCTTAATAAATGGTCTTTTTCCTTTTATAAGTGCCCCTTCCCCTTCTCATAATTACCCTTTTCATCTGTGTTAAGTGCCCCGATTATTTTAACATGTGCCTCTTTTTCTTTTTATAATAGCCACTTCCCCCTTTCACCTCCGATAAATGCATCTTTTTAAATCTGATCGGTGCCTCTTTTTTTCAACGCTAATGCATAGTTCCCTTTATCTTTAGTGTCCTTTTTTTTTCATTTTCATAAGTGCATCTTTTCATATATGGTCAGTGCCCCTTTCAGATGCGATAAATGCCCGTTTTCCCCTCTGATAATTACTCTTTTAAGTGTTAACAATGATGTGCTCCTTTACCCTTTCTAATAAGGAACCTATCCATTTTTCATAAATGCCCCTTTTCACTTCCTATAAATGCCCCCATCAAAATATGATGGGTGCCTGTTTTCCGTCGACAAATGCCCATTTCCCATTCTCATAAAACGTCTTTTCATCCCTGGTGCGCGTGCCTCTTTTAATTTGTAGGTGTAAGAAGTGCCCCATTTTCACCTCTCATTATTAGCCTTTGTACTTTGACACGTGCTCCTTTTCTTTTCTATCAAGTGTCTTATTACCATTTCGATAAGTGTCCATTTTTCCTCTCATCATTAAACGTGCCCCTAATTTCAAGCGACTAAGAGCAGTTTCCCCTAATGCTCGCTCGCTACGTTCGCTCTTAGTTAAAGATTATAGAACTTATCAAAGGTCTTTTCAGTCTTCCGTTATGAGAATGTGCTTATAACCCCATCAGGATTGGGTTTTTCCTCTTTAAAGTTGTAATTTTTCGCACTGCGACCTGACAAATTTTTAAAATTTTCCTAACTCTCAAATGAATTTTCAGACCATCACACCCAACTGCAAAGTATGATACTTAAGCAATATCTTATATGATGTATGAAGAGAAACAAATATTGAAATCATCTCTGATAATGTAATCACAATATAGGGGTATATACCAATGTCTAAAAAATTGTATATTGTCGCTTTGAGATTTTTGTCCATAAAAGTTCCTTTTTTTTGTTGGTGACCCCCCCCCCCCCCACACACACACACACTTTGGAGGAAGTCGTTCCGCTGCCTCTGTTCTGTACAGTCTAGGTATTTTTAGTTACAGGGGGAGTTCCTCCTGATAGGTATGTGGAGAGGGGGCGGACGGTGCCGCGCGCGGTTGCCCTTCTCCCAGTGGCGGATCCAGGGGGGGGGGGGGGGGCAGGGGGCCAGGCCCCCCCCCCCGAAAAAAAAACGTGTAAAAACACGTTAATATTACTATGTTTTGGAGATGGCCACCCCCCCCCCCCCACTGAGCGAATTATCGAGCGGCCTGACTTTAAAAAATTAGTGCTCACTACCCCCCCCCCCCCCCCCCTCCCACTGAGCGAATTATCGGCCGGCTATTTCGCCGCTATTTTTTTTCTCTCATGAATTGGGCTTCCTTCCCTGTCGCCCGCCCCTGCCTTCTCCAACCTTGGCCGTGAAATGAATGTCGTCAACTTTTTAAAAGTGGGGGGGGGGGGGGCTAGCTAACAAAAGAGGCACTCTCTGAAAAGAGAGCTCCTACAAAGGGAAACCGCGAAGCGAAAATATATAATTTGTTTAGGCATTGGTGTACCACTACACTTTTTTGTGAAATTATATTATCAGGGATGATTTAAATGTTTAAATCTAACTTTACATGGTCCATGTTACTTTGCATTTGGATGTGATGGTCTAAATATTTATTTGCGAGCGAGCAAGCAAAATGTTAAGATTGACGAGGGTGCAGTACGAAAAATAACATCTTTTAGAAAGGAAAAATCAATCGATCCTGATGGGTTTTAAATCAAAATCTAATCATACCCAGATAACAATACGACGTTACGCCAACGTGGGGCCAACGTAAGCTGTTACGTTGGTCCAACGTCGCCAACATGATGTTGGGCCCACGGCTTTCTTGCCGGTGGCCAACGTTGGCCCGACAGTGACAAAATGACATTAAGCCAACATCGGGCCAACGTTATGCCGACCCCTATCCGACCATATGTGCCGATGTCCTCCCGACATTGAACCAACGTTATGCCAACCTCTTTTCCACCATATGCCGACGTCTTTCCGACATTGGACCAACGTCGTCCCAACCCTTTTTTAACCATGTGCCGACGTACGAACAACGTTACGCCAACCCCTATCCCACCATGTGCCGACGTTGTTCCGACATTGGATAAACGTTATGCCAACCCTTATCCCACCATGTGCCGACGTCTCCTCGACATTGGCCCAACGTTATACCAACCCCTTTTCAACCATGTGCCGACGTCTCCACGACGTAGGGCCAACGTTATTCCAACCCCTATCCCACCATGTGCCGACGTAGTTCCGACATTGGACCAACGTTATGCCAACCCCTATCCCACCATGTGCCGACGTCGCGGGCTGTTTCGTTGCGCCATCGTCGCCAATGTGATGTTGGGCCAACAGCTTTCTTGCCGGCGGGCCAACGTTGGCTCGACAGCGACGAAATGACATTAAGCCAACATCGGGCCAACGTCCCCCCGACGTATGACCAACGTCATGTCAACCCCTATCCCACCATATGCCGACATAGGACAAACGTAATGCCAACCCCTTTTCCACCATGTGCCGACGTCTCCCTGACGTAGGACCAACGTAATGCCTACCCCTTTTACACTATGTGCCGACGTCTCCCCGACGTTGTCCTAACATAATGCCAACCCTTTTCCCACCAAGTGCCGACCCCTCCTCCACCACGTGCCAATGCTAGACCAACGTTATGCCAACCTCTTCTCCACCATTTGCCGACGTAGAAGCAACGTTATGCCAACCGTATCCCACCATGTGCCGACGTTGTACCTCCCCTTTCCAGTTCATGCCAACATCCTTCTGACATTACCAACACCAACTCAAAAACATATTCACACCAACATCAGTCGTCCGTTTATAAGAACATCGTCAAGCATACTACATCGGACATGTACAATCATTCAAACACATGCATCACAACGTGACAAGGAAAAGCCAAGTAGTTCAAGATTGGATTAAATAAATAAACAGGGCAAAATCCACAAAATGAAGATAGTAACAATTTCATCAAAATTAGACTGAATTTGAGAAAAGTTCATTATAGAACTCGACTTAGATCCCTCTGGAAGATATGTATAATAACAATATTGAAGCAAGAGGGACATGTTATTTTAATTTCGTCATGTCTATTATATTGTACATTTCAATCACTATCAAAACTTTATAACAACTTATTTGTCCCATTTTAATGAAAAGTTCACCATCTTGCTTCTTAGAATTTGCTCTGAATACATCCCCCTCCTCCAAAACAAAACCAAGGAAAATAAACTGATTTTGTGATAAAACATACTTTATTTTATGTGTAATAAACAAACTGTTGTAAATGTGAATACAATTATTGTACATCTTTCTTTTGTATTTTCGTTTGAATTCGAAAAAGATGTAAACATAGTTTCAAGTTCAAGGTATCTCAATGTGTCACAATATAGGCCTACTATCAATGAATGCTAGGACCATAGGAGCTGTTATAAAATGAATTGTCGCTTACACGTAACACAACATAACATACTGAAATTCATTGTACGAATATAATAAACAATCCTCACAACTTCCCGAGTAAAACAAACAAACTTTCTGGCAGACGAACACGATTGCTTATGACAAGATTCCTCTACATATGTACAGCACAAAAATATAAAGAAATTAATAAAGTGTCCACCATTTGCATACCAAGAACTAGGCAATGAATGTAAACAATGTTCCATAAAAAACAAAAAATAAAATTCAGAGAAATTGCCAACATTTTTTATGCTTAGGCATTTCAGAGATGCTGATACACTATTGTTAACACATCTACAAACTGTTTTTTTTTAGGAGGGATAGTATACATTGCTTGAATGTGTGAAGTAAAGTAATCGCTAAATGTTTATATAAACAAGAGAGGAAATTTGAAAGTGAAGTAAGAAAGAGCAGAGCTTGTAAAGGGACAAACACAAGTTTCTTCACTCTGATATACCACTTTCAATATTTCTTTAAATTGAGAAGAAGGTAGTACGAAAAACATTCAGTCACTTAGATATATGAAACATTTTTTTCTTACCTTTGAAATTCTTTATAGCATGCATTTAGTTGACACGTTATACAGGCATTCAAATCAATTACGACCTCTTCGACTCATGGTATACAGTAGCTCTCTTTTTAAAATTGGGCCATTAGTGAAATTTCACCACAATAAATAACAAGTAAAGATGCATAGCACACTATTTAATAACAAAAGTTATTGTTTATGTTTGTGTAAAAAACATAATGCCTGCAGAGCTGGCTAGCAAGCACCGTAGCTTGCCTAAGCGGAGATCGTTCTTGATATAACATCACTAATCCTTTGGTCAATCATTCCGAGGAACTCTGAGAATTGTAAGGGGCGGGTCCACTATTAGACGAGCAACTTGGAGAGGTTTTCAAAAAATTGTAAAAAATATAAGGAGGCATTTATTTATGAAACAATTGTTATTATGTTGCTTTAAAGGGTTTTGATACAAGACATAAAAGTTTTAATTTCCTAAGGCAATGGACCTTTAAAGAATGGGTTAGTCGGAATCAAAATCTTGTCTAGCTTGTGGTGGTACAACTTCGACATCTGCAGCAACAAAAAAAGAAGAAAGAAACCAAACAAGATTTAAAAGCAGATCATGGAAACATCACCTTGAAATAGTACGGATATTAATCAAATACGGCATTCAAGGGAAGTAGTCCTGAGTGGCACATCCTCCATAGTTTTGATGAAATTTCATGGATAGAAGTACTTTGTCATGAAAATAACTTCGTTCAAACTTTAGAGCGAATGACCCAGACGTATGGAAATTAGAAAGGAATGAATTTCTTTTATTTTTGTCTTGTTTAATTAGAATAGCACCAAACACTCTTCTTAACAAAGGAAATATACATTTGAGGTAAAATGGCAGTAATATTCTTCAATAGAAAGAACCAATTTATAGTATCTGTTTGCTCAGTGTTGAGATGCTTGATTGATAACAGTTTAAAGCCCTCTTAAGTGTTGGATCCCAAAATTAGCCAAAGAATAGATGGCACAATCAACTTAAATGGTATGATGTAAAAGAGGATGTCATTAACACCCGGACACTTCTGCAAATAGAATATTGCCCTAACAAATGTGTTTGAAGTAGAATATGGATGAAAGAATACAAAATTTGCGTTTTCTGCATACAACACAAAACCCTTAGTAAGTTTGTATTCTTTCTAATTTTAGGACAAATGTTTGAAGAAGAGTGGCATTTTCTTTCACATCATTATAACATTGAAGTGAAATGTGAAGCTCCCATACTTTTTTTTTGTATTTATGTAAGCTCCCAATACTTGAGAGAGCTTCGAGGGGCTTCAAAGTAGAAACAAAAACACAAAGCTATATCGTTAGTTGCTTATACAAGAAACAAATCAATTGACTGTGTTTTGTTTTTTGTGGCACCCTGCATTCAGAATTGTTTCCAAAAAATACTGCTATAAGCAGTATTTCATGATTTGTTGTAGTTGAATAGTTTTTGTAAGTGATCACAGTGCAGTTTCTCAATATAATCAGGAAAAAGATACTAGCATCCGTTAGCAGCTATGTCCTACACAAACGTACATTATCCAGTACATTTGTACTTTGTGTGCAGGGCACAACTACAACGAATACTAAGAAGTGCTATCATGTCTACATGTATAACTAAATACAAAATGAATAAATGCCAAATGACATACCCATATTTCTGATGTTGAGGTCAATGGGGTCGTTGGGGTCGACAGTGTTCTGGAGGTTGATGGGGTCGATGTCGAAGGGGTCCTTGGTGCTGTTGATGCTGTTCTGGATGATCGAGGTAGGGGTAGCTGGATCTGAACGGGTAGAGGAATCTGGAATTTGTTGTGAAGTTGACGATATGAAATGCAGGATTTAATATTTAAATTTCAGAATTGTAGGGATTATGGGAGAAAAAAGTATTGGGATTTGGAAGAGCTATATAGAATTTAATGTATTAATAAAGAACGTCAGAATTTTAAAATAAATAATTAGAATATTTACCTTCAGTTCAAATTATAGCAATTTAATATACATGTGCATAAACAATAAAAACTAATTTTAAAATGAGAATAAAATGCAGCAATAATCAATTTGTGAATGAAAATTGTGAATGAAAATTATGGATCGATCAGTGTTACCTCCGCCCCAATAGTTTTTTCCTATTTACTATTTGATCAAATTGAGGTTGTTGGCCAATTGCGACTTTAATGATTGCAAATGCCAAAATGAGGGTAATTCCCACCAGCTACCTCTTTCACATCACACTCACAATCCACTAAATGTGTTGATACAAAGTTCTTGCATATTTTGGCAGACTTGGCACCCTTGTAAGATTTCAGGAGGCTAGAAACATGTACGAGCGGGATATCTTATTCACAGCCCAATATCTCGTAATTTATTCCTTTTCGAACTGAATCATCATCAGCATATATTGAGCTACTACAGAGTATAGTATAGACCTACTTCTAAATCTGAAAGTATCAGAGACTATAATATCATTTAGATATGCATAAAAAAATGATGCGTCTTCCCATTCAGCTCTATTTGATTCAATTGGTCTTTCCAACAATGCATCAGCACCTTCAACACTTGTAACACCAACAGATTCACAAATCATTTGATTCATGGTCGATATTGCATATTGGGATGAACATTATCACTGTCACGGACGCTGCAACATGATGCATCAATACATCACCTAGGTCTAACTCTAAGTCAGGAACATATTAACATTTATCACAGCAAACACTCAATGCATCTGAGGCCCCCATCATAGACATCATAGCCATCACTCACACTTCAATTGCACGCAGCGGGTGTGCATGCTAAGCGTACGCCGAGCGGTACACTAGCTCAGGCGCGGATCCAGGATTTCTTAGGGGGGGGGGGGGGGGCCCAAATTGAAATTATGCGAGCCAAATATTGGTACGTAATGATGACCAACAGTGACGTAATGCGGGGGGGGGGGTCGGTGCAGGGGGGGGGGGCGATTTCCCCCTCCCAAGCTTTGACGTTTCATTATATTATTAGAGAAAGAAGACGATTCGTTGTACCGTTCTCGAAAATAATTCTCGTCTGAATTTAGTTTTTCCCCATCCGCGCGAAGCGCAGAAATTTTTACGATTTATTAAATTATAGAAGAAAGAAGACGATTCGTTGTAAAGTGCTCTACTCTTAATCCTCGTCTGAATTCAGGTTCCCCCTCCCCCTCCCGCGCGAAGCGCGGAGCTTTTACGTTTCATTATATCATTAGAGAAAGAAAACGATTCGTTGACAGTTCTCGACTCTTAATCCTTGTCTAAATTCAGTGTTCCCCCCCTCCTGCGCGAAGCGCGGAAGCTTTGACGTTTTATTATATCATTAGGGAAAGAAACGATTCGTTGACAGTTCTCGACTCTAATTAATCCTTGTCTAAATTCAGTGGTTCTCCCCCCCCCCCCCTCTGCGCGAAGCGCGGAAGCTTTGACGTTTTATTAAACTATTAAAGAAAGAAGACGATTCGTTGTACCGTTCTCGACTCTTAATCCTCGTCTGAATTCAGTTTCCCCCCCCCCCCTCCTGCGCGAAGCGCGGAAGCTTTAATCTTAGTTTAATCATTAGAGAAGAAGAAGATTCGCTGCACCGTTCTCGAAAATAATCCTTGTCTAAAATCAGTCCCCCCCCCCCCCCCCCCTCCTCCCTCCCCCTCCTGCGCGAAGCGCGGAAAATTTTACGATTTATTAAATAATTAGATAAAGAAGACAATTCGTTGTACAGTTCTCGACTCTTAATCCTTGTCTTAATTCAGTCCCCCCCCCCCCCCCCTCCCCCTCCGGCGCGAAGCACGGAAGCTTTAACGTTTTATTAAACTATTAAAGAAAGAAGACGATTCGTTGTACCGTTCTCGACTCTTAATCTTCGTCTGAATTCAGTTCCCCCCCCCCTCCCCCTCCCGCGCGAAGCGCGGACGCTTTTACGTTTCATTAAATCATTAGAGAAAGAAACGATTCGTTGACAGTTCTCGACTCTTAATCCTTGTCTAAATTCAGTCTCCTCCCCTCCCCTCCTGCGCGAAGCGCGGAAGCTTTGACGTTTTATTAAACTATGAAAGAAAGAAGACGATTCGTTGTACCGTTCTCGACTCTTAATCCTCGTCTGAATTCAGTTCCCCCCCCCCCTTCTGCGCGAAGCGCGGAAGCTTTTAACCTTAGTTTAATCTTAGTTTAATCTTAGTTTAGAGAAGAAGATTCGCTGCACCGTTCTCGAAAATAATCCTTGTCTAAAATCAGTCCCCCCCCCCCCCCCCTCCCCTCCCCCTCCTGCGCGAAGCGCGGAAAATTTTACGATTTATTAAATTATTAGAGAAAGAAGACGATTCGTTGTAAAGTTCTCTACTCTTAATCCTCGTCTGAATTGATGTTCCCCCCTCCCGCTCGAAGCGCGGAAGCTTTTACGATTTATTCAATAATTAGATAAAGAAGACAATTCGTTGTACAGTTCTCGACTCTTAATCCTTGTCTAAATTCATTCCCCCCCCCCCCCCCATTCAGGCGCGAAGCGCGGAAGCTTTGACGTTTTATTATACTATTAGAGAAAGAAGACGATTTGTTGTAAAGTTCTCGACTCTTAATCCTTGTCTTAAATCAGTCACCCCTCTCCCTCTCCCGCGCGAAGCGCGGAAGCTTCTACGTTTCATTAAATCATTAGAGAAAGAAGACGATTCGTTGTGCAGTTCTCGACTCTTAATCCTCGTCTGAATTCATGTTCCCCCCCCCCTCCCGCGCGAAGCGCGGAAGCTTTTACGATTCATTAAATTATTAGATAAAGAAGACAATTTGTTGTACAGTTTACGACTCTTAATCCTTGTCTAAATTCAGTCCCCCCCCCCTCCCCCTCCCCCCCCCCCCCCTCCTGAGCGAAGTTCGGAAAATGTTACGATTTATTAAATTATTAGAGAAAGAAGACGATTCGTTGTAGAGTTCTCGACTCTGAATCCTCGTCTGAATTCAGTCCCCCTCCTAGTCCAGATTCAGTCCGTTCGTTCTTTTTATCCCCCACACACATCGCGGTCTCTCCACTGATCGCGCAATCCCCAAATTTCCGTCCACACGAACGTATTCAGGACCCAGATTTAGAGGAATGGCTAGGTCTACTTTCAACGTTGAGGGTGTGTTATTTTATTAGCTGATTGGGTGCGCTAAACGAAAACGGTACAGAGGCTGGACTATATCCCCTCCCCTCATGCGCGAGGCTTTGACGTTTTATTATTAGAAAAAGAAAACGATGCGTTGTACAGTTCTCTATAATCCTTGTCTGAATTTCAAAGATGTTCTTTGTCTGCTCCTTTTTCTTCCTACACTGTACGTCCTCTTCCGATTGGGGGGCGCCCCCCCCCCCCCCGGCTACGAGCCTGCGGTCAGATAAACACATCTTGATACCTTGTCCGACCCCGCAAGCTCAGGGGTTTAAGGCAATACATTACTATCAGATTAGAGAATAAGAAATTACCGTCAGATGATCATTTAAGGACCCGCCGTAGGGCCCTAGATGGAATCCAGGGGGCAAAGCCCCCGGAAGCTTAGGGGTTTAGGCATTTAATCACGGTCAGATGAGCATATTTTGATGCCTCGGGCCCTGACATGTAGGAATCTCAAGAATCATATTTTTTGCTTGGGTGTAAATTTAGGAATTTGCCATTTTCCAGCAAACACATACAAACGTATAATTTACTAAAAAGTGAGGAAAAATTTCGGAAATTATGTCATTTCAGCATTATTTGTTATCAACCGTTGTCGAATTAGAAATAAACCACGTTTGAATTTAATTTCCCCCAAGCCCCCCCCCCCCCTCTATCAGTACGCCAGTATCTCCTCTTTTCCTTTTTTCTTTATCTTTCCTTCCTTCTCTCTTTTTTTTTTGATTGGGGGGGGGGGGGGTTAACAGCCTGGGAGGCAAGGCCCTTTCGGCCCCCCGATCTCCTTCTTACCCCTTTTCTTTTCTTCTTCCTCTTCTTTCTTTCCGTTTTTCTCCTTTTTCCCTTTCCCTTCTTTTCCTTTCTTCTCTCTTTTTTTTTTTTTTTTTTTGCGGGGGGGGGGCCAAGGCCCGCTCGGCCCCCCCCCTGGATCCGCGCCTGCACTAGCTCGTACTCACTTTCACTTTCATTTGGACAGGGAATTATCAATGATTACTTTAACAATTTCTCATGCTATTTCCCTCGCTTTGTGACGGGGAGTTCTCACACTATACAATTTATCAGTTTCACGCGACATGCTCACAAAAAATAACGTTGAAAGAGAAAGAAAATCATTCATTTACCATGCAGTGTTGGTACTCCCCGGCAACTGATCCAGACAAATGGACAGGATATGGCTGACGTACGTTGCAATTGCATGAGCACATGGGCATGCGCACGCATGCAATTTTTTTTACCCGGATGTAGCGGTACTAGGTCGTATTTGATACGTTGGCCCAACGTCATATAGCCAACCAATATATACATGCACTATTTATCAGTAAAGATGGAGACGATATAGACCAACGTTAAGCCAAGGTTGGCCCAACGTCGTGTATATTAGCCAACATATATCCACTATTTCTCAGTAAAATTTGAAACGATGGACCAACATTGAGCCAACGTTAATAGCCAAACGTTGAATAGCCAATTAACAGCCACAATTTATCAGTTATAATTGAGACGATGGACCAACGTTCAGCCAACATTAGCCCAACATCGAATGGCCAACCAAAAGCCAACATTTAAAATTTAAAATTGAGACGATGGACCAACGTTCAGCCGACGTTAGCCCAACGTCGAATAGCCAACCCAAAGCCACCATTTAAAAAAAAAATTGAGACGATGGACCAACATGAAGCCAACATTGGCCCAACGCCGAATAGCCAACCAATAGCCAACATTTATAAGTTAAAATTGAGACGATGGTCCAACTTTCAGCCCACATTGGCCTAACGTCGAATAGCCAACCAAACGCCAACAGTTATCAGTAATATTTGAGACATTGGACCAACGTTCAGCCAACATTGGCCCAACGTCGAATAGCCAACCAATAGCCACCATTTATCAGTGAAAATGGCAACAATGTACCAACGTTGAGCCAACTTTAGCCCAACGTCGAATAGCCAACTAATAGCCACCATTTATCAGTAAAAATAGTGGCAATGGACCAACGTTCAGCCAACATTGGCCCAACGTCGAATAGCCAACTAATAGCCACCATTTATCAGTGAAAATGGCGACAATGAGCCAACGTTAGCCCAACGTCGAATAGCCAATCAAAAGCCAACATGAATCAGTAATAAATGAGACAATGGACCAACATTCAACCACTCAATCACTTAAGTACCCATCTTTCAACAAAATTATTTACCTAAATTTTGTGAGCAATAATGAAAAAATGCACCTTATAATATCACTTTTTCATAGATGCCTGTACAAAATCTGCTAAACAATTTCTTATTTCTCCGAATTTACAAAAATGAATTTAGCTCCTTTTGGAATCAAACTCTTCAGTGATAAAGTACGACCATATTGTTTGTTATCGAATAGCAGCCTGCCAATAACAAAGGATATACCAGTATTAAATAGTGTCGCGAGTTACGTCACCATTTTGCTAGATAAGAAAATTGCTTTCACCGGATAACAGGCCGTTAACAGGTAAGGCGCAGGACTATAAGGAGGAGGGATTTTTTTAAATTAGGGGTCAGACTCAATTTAGTGGCACTTTCAGGATTTTTATAACTACGAAGTGGGAGGGGGCACACTGTCTTATCTCGGCCAATTAAGCAAGCATTACAAAAAGAAAAGGGTCTAGGGTTTTCATATTTCTCGTTTCTGGTCACTATTTGGCCGGGATGACTCACTATTTAGACACACTTTCTGCGAATTTGTAGTAGATGTTCTTATGGTATTCAAACTTGGATGTTGGCGGTGGGGGAGGGCACCTGAATCTGCTGAAGATGGAAATCTAATGTAATCTGATACGTAAAACAAAAAATATATCTTCTTATCATTACGGATGAAAACCTGAAATAATCAACAAGATAAAATTAAACAAAATTAAAACAGGATCGATCTACATTATATTTCATTTTACTGTAAGCCTGTACTGTTTAAATGGAATGCTAATAGACATAAAGTCAAAGGCGGCTTTATCGCCATGCTAATTCGTCCCTGATATCTCTGCCCCTCCGTCTAGCTCTCTCCCTTTTCCTTTTCTTTCCCGCTTGTTCACAACGTTCTCACTTGTCTTCCCATTTTATTTTTTCGTATTGCTTTATGTCTTCTTCTTCCGTTTTTTGTTTTGTTCTTACTTTCCATTCTCGTTAATCATCTTTCCTTACGTACCTGTTCTCTTGTCTGAATTGTTTTTCTGGCAATTATTTTTTCTCTCCACAGCTAGTGCTAAAAGAAGCACTGGCAGGCTTATCGGTTTCGTTTTTTCCGTTTTTTTTCTGGGACGCACTGTATATAAATTTGTTTGTGTTGAGGAAAGCACAGAACTCTTCCCTTTTTCCAAATTATTTACGATATGTTTAGTAAAATGTGTCACTTAAAGGTAACCTTCGTATAATCATATGCTTTTGTAAATATGTTAATTCAGATACCCTAATTTATATATAAACCTATGAACCGGGACCTATAATACAAGCTTTGCTTTTTAGAAGATCCCCCACTTTATCGATTGATTTATATGATTGTATTCTCTGTTATAACTATTACCATGTACATTATGTGTTCTATATTGTATGTTTAGTTATAATAATTACCATGTTCATTATGTTCAATTTATGTTATCTTTGATAAAGTGAAATAAATAAACTTGAACACTTGAAATAAGTAAAAAGCTGTGGCAGACCCTTGTATAAATAAAGTTATATATTTCTATATTCTATGGTCGCCATTGGCGGGTTAAATGGGCATGGGGTAAAGGAAAAAAACTGCAGGCATCTCTCTAAAAGGTAAAGACCAGTATTGGAAACGCCCCAATTTCAAAAAATGAAATGGAAGCTCTTATTACCAATCATTTGAAAGAATATGTTTTGAATATTACATGATGATACAAAATTTGACGGGAAACCGCCTACTAATTGATATATTTGGTAAATTAGTGTATCTCTTGCCTGTTGAGAGATATGAAATGCACGTGTCGCGCATGTGTGTGTAGTCCAATATACATCTTTCTGTGTACAGTGCTTCTAACTTTATGAGACTTTTCCAAATTTCTTATCATTTTGATGATTCCAGAACCTTGCAGTACATCTATGCTAGTTGATCAACCTTTTCTGATCGATTTCACAACGTTCCTTTCACAATGCAATCGCATATGACCATAACTGGTCTTTAGCTTTAATTTATTTTGTATTAAAAATTCCCAAGTTTATTAAAGGTACATTTAGATGCTTCTTTCTTTTTATATGAAGGTAAGATTTCTGAAAATAAATAACTAATTGTTGTTATGGTAAGAACTGACCGACCATCATGGCCGTATTGGTCAAGGCAGGATCACCTTACCTGTAACCATCATGGCCGTATTAAGGCAGGATCACCTTAATGTGACCATCATGGCCGTATTGGCCAAGGCAGGGTCACCTAATACCTGTAACCATCATGGCCGTATTGGTCAAGGCAGGGTCACCTTATTACCTGTGACCATACGGTCCTGCATGCATGTCCCGCATTCTGCCCATGGCTACGCCAGAGTTTGCACCGAGAGAAAATGCATAAAAGGGGGCTCTGCAAAGAAGACCAATCATTCCCCAGCCTGGATCGACCTCGACAAAAGCAACATAATATTCCCTGCACCATACTCTAGAGAGATCTGAACCACACTCTTCAACCGTCTTCATCTGACCGTTCCTATAGCTGTATTGGTAAGTAATAACAGTTATAGAGGTGTTGTGGTTCATTCACTTGACACTCAATCCAAGGGCTGAGGGTTCGAATCAAGTGGCAAGGGTAGAAATAAGAATTCAATCAGTTGGGTTATAAAAGAGTGTCCTCTGCATGCAACATGGGGCTTCAGGCATCAAATTGATGTTCTTTTAACTTCGCCTCTTTGATGTGTCGATGATCGAACTGATGTGTGTTTCATTGACCCGGCTTAAGTTTGATATATTACATCGTACAGCGCTTCCATGATTACAATATCTGTGAAGCATTTTGATATAGTCGTGAGAACTATTGAATTGTTAATCGTATTGGCTTAGATTGTGATAAAAACATTTTTGGGAGTGTTAAGAAAATAATTTATGATAAACATATAATAAGGGATAGTTTTCAATAGTCTTTTTCAACAGGAGCACTAAGAATTACTTTCATACCGCCCGCCATAAAAATAAGAATGAAATCATTGTTATAATCATTTCGCCGGTGCAATTCCAAGGGAATAACACCAATTAGCAGGGTTGACTGTCTTGCCCGAAGATCAACGCTCCGGCCATATTCTCAATTATGCATGCGAGCGAGTAAAATACGTAATATTTTGTTATGACGATATCAAGGACAATATAAAATGACAAATAGACTACTAGTACCTTGCTGTCATTATGTATGGCGGTGATTGTTCAGATATTAATATTTTTTAAATTCTTGGATAGCGGATTTAGCCCCTCCCCTCCTCATACGCCAATATGCCAAGTATTTAAATCAAGCTTTCCATTAAATTTAAATTCATTTAAAATTCAAATTAAGTTTGAAATTAAATTAAATTCAAATTAAGTTTCTTACCGTAGAAGAGTATGAATCTACGTCCGATATTTAATATTGTGCTGAAAACGCGTTTTTTTTTATTTTGTATTATCATTTTTGAATATTTTTTATTTTAACACTTTTTCCACAGATCATCTTTGAAAATGAGAGGCACAATACTCGTAACCCTGGTGGTCCTTGGTTTGGTGATCCCTCACGTGACTGCGGCCAACTTGGAAGATCTCTTCGATGAGGAAGGGGACCTCAAAATGTGTAAGTTCCAAAGACGAGATTGAATACGAGAGAGAGAGAGAGAGAGAGAGAAAAGGGGGCGGCGGGTGCCAAATTGAAATGGATAGAGAAATAAAGCGAAAGAGAAAAATAAGGGAGAGCGCATTAATTTTTACAGTAGAATAGAACTTACTCCAAATAATGTTGACACTATTTAAGTTTAAAACATGCAATCTCCATTCTAATAAAAGTTTATTATTGTTATTGTCATTAATAATAAAGTGTGCTTTTAAAGTATGTCATACTATTAAGAGTGTTGTATTTTGATGTTGTTTTAGCATAATATATATTTTAGTGTCTTTTATAACAAGATTACACACAATCATTGTATTTATTTCCCTTATTACGTAACACCAGTTCTTGATGAGGAGGCCTTATACTGTTTTCACACTGGCAATATTTTGCTTAACCCCGTACTATAGGTGGGGTTAAAGGGTATTTTAACCCCACCTATAGTCCGGGGTTAAGCTTATTCCACTTTCTTTTCACACTGGCAAAATGTTGCTTAACCCCGTACTATAGGTGGGGTTAAAGGGGGGGGGGGGTTTTAGCCCCACCTATAGTACGGGGTTAAGCTTA